CTGCCCCTCCACCCTGCTCCTCCTCTCTCTCTCTCTCAAATAAATAAAATCTATAAAAACAAAGTGAGGGACAGTGGGTGAGCTGTGAGAGAGTCTCCCTCTCTCTCGCTCTCTTTTTTTTTTTTTAATTTATCCATTCACGAGAGAGAGCATGAACAGGGGCGGGGGAGAGAGAGAAGCAGACTTCCCGCTGAGCAGGGAGCCCGATGCAGAGCTCTCCATCCCAGGACCCTGGGATCATGACCTGAGCCAAAGGCAGACGCTTAACTGACTGAGCCACCCAGGTGCCCCGAGAGTTCTTCTCTTAAACTCAACCAGTAGAGAAGTTATTCATCCCTCTGTTCCTATGGAGAAGTGTAAGAGCCCAGAGTGTGTAACGGTTGCTGTTACTCTCACTGACGTCCCTCAACAAGGAGACACAGAGCCAAGAGAAATGACACCCAGCCTCTATACCTCAAAATATGTTGTCATTTCCTTTTGCTTACTTTTGTGCGCTTTCAACTTTCCTATCAGGAAAAAATAAGTCTCCTTAAAAAATAAGAACAGTCCCTTTGCTTTCCTGTCACTCAACCCAGAAGTAATTATGGAGTGATAAATTTTAACATTTGACACCTACAAACAAAATTTCAATCACACTTTTGTAACTTTGAATATTGTTGATAAATTCAATCATCCATTTACTTTATAATCTTCATGTATTCAACGACCATTTGCATTATGAGGAAGCTGTATTTGCAGGGATAAACACTGAAGTTATAAAAAATATTTCAGTATGATTCCACCTTCGAGGAAGATATAATTTACTTGAGAAAGGAAGATATAAATAGGACTGTAAAATAACATCAAATGATGAGCAAGATAAGATATTAATAATAAGTTTCTGTGGGAGAACCAATAAGAAGAGTCTTTCCATCTTGGAACATTAGGGAAAACTCCTGGACGGTAAAGTGGATGAACTGGGCTCTGCTGGAGGGGGACATTTGTGACCTAGAGGGGAGAGATATGTCCGTGGTGAAGGAAGAACATTGTTTCACACAACATGCACTTGTATAATTTTATGCACTGTTCTGTGACCCAAAGATAGCTGTAGATCTTACTTGCAAGTGAGAGAAACAAACAATAAATGAAGGAATACATACTTAATACAATGTTAGGAAAGGATTGATACTATAGAGAAAAATAAAGCCATCAAAGAGAGACTAATGGATTATTGTTATTTTCATAGAGTGGTTAAGAAAACCCTTTTTTAGAGGGTGACCTTTTCACAGGGATCTGAAATATCTAAATCTAAAACATACATGTCTATGGCACGTGCATTATTTTTCTCTTATCTGCAGCATTCAATAGATTCCTGTGTTTCAAAATTAAAAAAAAAGTTTACTATTAAAAATAAATATAGAAAAGGCAAAAAGAAATCTCCCTCCCACCCTTGTTTTCTAACCACCCAGTTGTAAATGGAGAAAAAAAAGGTATTTCAGGCTAAAGAAATAGGAAGTGAAAAAACCCAGAGGCCAGAGTTCTTTAGATATCTTTGAGAAAATGCTGGAACAAGGAGAATGCTAGGAAATGATGTTAGAGAGATCATGGAGGGCTTGTGGGCCATGGGAAGGAATCCAGATTCATGCTAAGTGTGGTGGGAGGCTGGCTGTCAGGGAATTTTGAGCACTGGGGTGATCTGATCTGTGTTTCTTAGAAGTTCACTAAGCAGTATATAAAACAGGCTATAAGAGGACAAGAAAGGCAGCTGGTGGGCTAGTCCGGGAGCTAAGGTAGGAGTCCCAGTGAGAAACGAATAGGACTTGGATGAGGGCAAATATGTAGAAAAAAATGGACTAATCTCGGATTCTCCTGTCAAGTTAGGCAGTAATTAGCTAGATAACAATAGAATGAAGAAATAGCTAGAGAAAGTTTTCTTTGTTCATTCCGATTCATGATTCAGTTTTTCTTTCTTTGAAACTTTTCTCTTGCATGTCAGAACCATATGATCACTGTCCCTGAAAGTGTTAAGTCCATGTTTGGAATAAGTGAAGTAATTTTGCAAATTAGAAAATCTAGCAAAGTCAGTGTAGCGTACAAGTAATACGTTTCACGGAGACTTCAAACCTGATTATAGCTAATAATTGTTAATGGTGCAAATTATCTACGTGCTGTCTGTATCCTTTAGACTGTGGACATGATTTTATGACTGTTTTTAAAAATTAGGTTATTGAGTAACTTTCTTTTTATAAGTTGTCCGTCCCTTCAATAATGTCCTCTCCATGAGCCTCCCGATTTCTTTGTATACTCTTTAGATGAGGCATGATTAAGAAGTTAAATGGAGAGACTCTGTCAAACTCATTAATTTTCTGTGGTGTTTGAATAAGTGGGTTGGCCCCTTAAGCAGATTGTGCAATATTGCTTTTCAGATCGAGGGCTTTCTGTCGGAACGTACCATGTCTTGAAAGAGAAGATAGCTGCCAGGCTTCTGGGCTGTAGCTAGGAATGTAATTTGTTCAACAAAGTATGGCAGCTAAACCAGTAGAATTGTTTGTTGTTTAGTCTTTCTTATTAGACCATGTTGTAAAGCTCGGAGGAAGGTCAAATGCTAAAATGCATTAAAATGCACTTTCTTTTCCCCCTAGATATTTTTGAATGCAGATAAAATCCGGCTGGGGAATCTACCGACTGGCTCTTTCTCATCGTCTTCACCCAGCTCCTCAAGTTCCCGGCAGACCGTGTATGAACTGTGTGTCTGCCCCAATGGCAAACTGTACCTTTCTCCAGCGGGAGTAGGTTCCACTTGTCAGTCCAGTAGCAACATCTGCTTGTGGAGCTGAAGTGACTGATTTCTCCTCACACCAGAATAGCCTTTTGTTCCTGTCCGTCTGCTTCACAGTTCCGCTCGGTTTCCCTTGTGATCAGTCCAGAGCTTCTTCAAATGGTCCACAGAGCAACTTCTTCCGATGCAAGCAGGGGTTCGCTGCCACCTTCTCTCGTGATTTACTGTACTGCTCAACTCAGAGAGCGTGGGTGACGGGACAGTGGAAAAATCACCTTCAGCAGGAAAACTGGATCATAACTTCTGCTCAAAAGGGAGAAAAACATAGGTGCCTTTGCTACATGAAGTGAAGCACACAGTTTTAGATTTTTGCAGGACCTGGATATGAACTGCACATACATACATTAATCACATAGATGAAATTCCCAGTATCCAATGGCAAGATGAGATGGTTAACCCTGTCAGAAAACTAATTCTACAGTCTGAAAGCACAATTTTCCAATCATCTTTTTGGATGTAAACTTTTATCCCCGAATTTTAAAATTTTCAAGCATTAGATAATGCTTGCTTTACTAAAAATTAAATTCAATACATGATTTTTAACAAAACGAAACAAAACAAGACAGAATCCCACCCTGAGTTTTATTTGTTTCTTTGAATTCAATGTGTTGTTACTCTTTGTCTACTAAGTCTAGACTTTTGTACGTTAGGTAATTTTGAAAGCACTCAGCAATATAATCTTTACAGAATTAACAAAATGCCATTATCCTGTCATTTGTCAGATCTGAATGGCCTTATATAGTATTTACTTGGCTTTTGCATGTGACGTATTTGCTTTTAACGAAACATCTAATTTATTGCAATATAAGATAGGATTAAGAGGGGCATACTGATGGTGTAGAATCCATAGATTTTTTTTTTTAATTCACATGCTATCGTTTCCATGAGGTTCTCATAGTACAACTTTTTGTTTGCTCCATTCACTTTATATTTGACTGACTGCTAAAATTCAAACATCCACTAAATAAATAAATTACTAATGTGATGCATTATGCCGAGAATGGATTCACTTTCCATTGGAATATACTCTTCAGAATTATATCTACGTATTTTTTTTTTTACTGGAGGTTAAGATTTAAGGACGGTAGAAAGTAAATTACAAATCCCTGCTTACAGAGTAAAAAACGTAAATGTTAACAAACATGTTGAAAATGTGTTTGCTCCATTAAATTCCTATTTTCAGGAATTTGGTCACATTTCCTTTCAGTTCTTAATACTTAATTACCTTGATTAGACTGTTAAGCTACCCAGCCCCTGGCATCAGAAATCATAGCTCCTTCCATTTTCCACTGCTTAATTTTGTAAATTAGCACTAATTAACTCCAGAATAATGTAGCTTCGTTTATCACAACACTCCTTAACTTGAATTCTTAAAACTGACAGAATCCAAGAATGTAAAATTGTATTAAATATTTCCTATTATGGGAAGATGACTTGATTACTCTAAGGTAAGTCCTTAATTTTCACATGGCAGTCAAGCTTACTTTCCTCCATGCACACTGTTGCAGGTGTATGGAAGCTTCGTCTTGGGGGCCCATGAGCATAGAACCTTTGAAATTCAGGCCTCTACAGCATAGAGCAAAGTGGGAGATGGGAACTTGTTGGAGTAATTTGTTGAAAGTAGGAAAATTAGATAATGCAAGGAACAAAGTGAACCATGGCCAGAATTATCTTGTTTGGATAACCTAACATATTGAATGCTTGAAAAAGCTCTTTTACTAAAACGCATTCTGTACTCACCAAAAAGTCAGAAAGCTAGTGCAGTTTTATCACTTTTAAAATAGAACTTGACTTGTGTTTGGGGTTATTATAGAAAACTTAAATCACTATTGGAGTAAGAATTGAGATATGCAACTGCTTAAAACATCATAGCACAACATAAGTGTTCAATTTATTTAAGTTGGAACATTAGAATTGAATATGAGAAATTCTCACATTGGTTTAAGCAAAGGACACAAAGCATAACACAAGAATTTTGAGAAATTATGGGTGCTAATCACTGTGTTATGGGACTTTTAGGAAAACACTGTGTATTAATTTGAGACATTCAAGTTCTAAACATCCCTAAATTAAAACAATTAGAAAGTTTTTTTTTTTTAGTCAAACAGGAACAATTCGTTTGATTAGTAATTAGCACCGTTTCTAATCTCAGCTCTGTCTTCTAATCAGCAAGCTGATTTAGGCGGTCTGGGAATATCTCCAGACTCCAGACTCAACTATACAACAGAAGTATCGAGTCAACTGGTCTCTTCAGAATCCTTCCAGCTCTAACTTGTTCTAATTCCAAGAGCAAATATTATAGGCGGTGGAAGGGTCCACTAAAGTTTAAATTATACATCGTAAGAGGAGAAAAGTGGAGAGTGAGGAGACAAACAGTATAAAATCCAATTCTGGTGAGGGGCTGTCAATTTTTATTTCAAATATGTTCTGAAATATTAGACACAATTTGAAAGACATATGTTAAGAGATTTAGACTATGTCTACATGATGTAAAAATATCTTTGATTTAGTAGAAAAAAATAGTGATACAAGAGGCTTTGCTATCCAACACTGGGCAGTTGGTTTAAATTACTTGGCTGGCTATTTTAGATTCCTTAGAATCTAAGTATAGATTCAGCCTCAGAGTTGGAGCCTCTATTGAAGGCATAGAAGATTGCTCCTAAAGGTCCTTCATTTCTTCATAAATGAAGGCTCGGTTCTCTCCTAATACAGAGTTCCCTTAATTGTAGACTACGAAACAGATTCATCATCTGTTTCTCCAGTAGTATTTTTCTGTTACAACCTATATAAATACCGTGCAGTTTACTCAGATGCAAATTTCATCTTTCCTAATTTAACTCAGAAAAAAAAATAATTCCTTTCAGGTGTAATACATGGACCTTAAACTTTGTATTCAGTTCAGCTGAAGAAGGCGGTGGGGGGGGGAAGGAGAAAGTCAGGCAAACCCGCATGCAGGGAAGACAAAAGGAAGGGATTGACCATATTCCTAGCATTTACATTTTTAGCTAGGAATGAATAAACTGAAAGTATTTGAGTTCTGTTTCTGGGAGTCAAAGGAGAGAAGCAATTATCCCTTATTCTTTCGGAATACTTAAGTGAGACACTCTCAAAAAAATATACTTCCAAATTAACTGTTTCTTTCGTTCAACATCTCCAAAATTTCTACCCTGTATTTCTTGGTCCTATTTTTTTTTTCTTATTTTATTAGGAACCACAAGATCTCTAGTTTAGTACATAATTATTTCTTGAAGGGTTCAAGATAACTTTATACTTCAAATTTGATATTAATCAGGTAATCTTAGATTTCAGGATCCCAAATCTCTGAAAATGGATCCTGGGGTTTCATTTCAAGTTCTGCGCCTACCTACTTGACTTTAGGAAATGTACTTCTTTATCTTGACCACAGTTTACTTACCTGTGAGAGGGGTACAGCAAACTAGGAGTTTCCTTTGGTTACTTTCATCTCTAAAATTTCACTGATTCACTTAAGAAGAGACTCAGCTATCTTGAGTTCAGTAACTTAGTCTGGACTAGCATTACTGATCTCCTTCTATACCTTAACATGTTTCTTGTTTAAATGTTGAAATGCAAATCTTTCCATCATCCTGCTCCTTACTCCTTTTTTTATATTCTTTCTTGTTCTTACCATGTGAACATTAATGTCCCTTTCATAAATGTCACTGACAGCCTTCAGGAATATGGTTGACATTTAAAAAAGAAAAGGATATATTTGGTCTTATTAAAAAGAACTATTTCGGAAATTAATAGAAAAATTTACCAAATATTAATACTCCGTTGATCATTCTGTTACTATTTATCGCCATCAAACTAAAAAGCTCTGGTCTTCTGAAGAAAAGGTAATTTGATCACAAAGGTCAGTTGCTGACTTTTTATAAGATGCTATACCATTCAAACTTCCTGCATATTCTACCATCTGAATTTCTCAGTTGGACAGTGCCTCATTTTATAAAACTGGCATTTGATACAATAAAACTCCTAATGAATTGTGTCATTGCAAACATGGTATCTCCATATGAGGCAGCAATTGATAGAAGGCTGGAGAGTGTTTAATGCATTTAAGTGCTATATTTTATAACAGATAGTATCAGTATCATAATATTAAGTTATTAAAATAGTTGAAGATATTTAATGGCCAAATTTTCTATTCCACCATCAAAGCCAAATTCACGTTTGAGTTTCATATGAGTAAAATCTTATAACCTTATTCTTCCAGTAGCTTTGGTCTAATTATCATTGCTCATGTGACCATATTTAAAGATACTTGGAGAAATTATTTTCTCTATGTAGTAGTGTATATTAGAGCAATGAATATTACAAAATATCATTATCACAAAGTAAAATATTATATTTTATTCCTTTAAAACAATCATAAACTAATGAATGACCTCATTGAATGCTGTTATTCATATTGTTTTATGCAGCAGTTCATTAGTTATTTAAATGTCAAAGACCAAAGACTGGAATTTCTATTGTATTTAACTCTACAACACTGCTGCTTCTACTAATTAATTCAGATGAATAGGAGGGCTTATAATTATAACATGAGGTAGTAAACATCCTCCTTGCAGGATTCTGAGCTATAGGTCATTACTTTGTTTTGATTTTAGAAGGAAAATTTTGTTAGTATAGTCCACTTACCTTTTATACATGCGTAATAAACTCCTTGATATTCATAAGACCAGTATATAAAGACTATACCCTAAAATGGGGGTCCGGGCTGGATTGATTCAGCTGAGTTTAAACTTTCATTGCTTGGTAAAAATTCTTTGGAGAATATAATTAATTTGAAATACTTTTAGAACCAGAGGGCTATTTTTTAAGTGTTGATTGAAGCGGTTCCATTCTTTGAGAAAGTCAATGAAAAACATGAAAGGAAATGAGGTATAATGAACTGTGATCCTTTATGTTTTTGCAGTCTTAATACCTCATTTGTCTGAATGTTTATAAATAAAAGCCAAACAGGGTTGAAGATGTGCAAGGACATTCACTAACAATGGAGATACGTAATTTCAAGTTTGAGTGTCTCGTTATTTACACAATTCTTTAAACCAGGTCCACTACTCATTTATTTTGTTTTGTAATTTTCATGTAAATGTTTTCTTGTATATATAGATATATGAAAAATGGAACTATTTTCTTACACATACTATGCAATATGTTTGTAAAATTGCAATATTACCAAAATACAAAAGCTGTGCTTTTGTACTCTATCTTGCTTTATGTAAAATCAATCTTTTTCTATTTAAATGGACTACCTGTCCCATAAACTGTAGATAACATATCTATTCAAAATCAGTCTATTGTATCTTTTGTTTAGTTTGGGGTGGATTGGGTTCTTTTTCTTTTGGGAGAAAATGCACCAGTTTGGCAGTTGGAAACTTTGTTTTCCTCAAAAAATGAGACTTTTGAAGCATGCAATGAGCTCATATAACTTAAGATCTCTCCTGTAATTCTTGTATTTTGTCCTAATTTTGGTGCTACTGTGTAACCATGATTAAAAGTGATAGTCAAAACAAAGAGGATCAAAACTTACATGCTATCATTTATTTAATTGAGAG